ATTCACTCTAATGATTATTTCTTTTGCTGTGCAGAAGTTCTGGAGTTTAATTAGGTCCCATTTGTCTATTTTGGCTTTTGTTGCCAATGCTTTTGGTGTTTTAGTCATGAAGTCCTTGCCTATGCCTATGTCCTGAATGGTTTTGCCTAGGTTTTCTTCTAGAGTTTTCATGGTGTTAGGTCTTATGTTTAAGTCTTTAATCCATCTGGAGTTAATTTTAGTGTAAGGTGTCAGGAAGGGGTCCAGTTTCTGCTTTCTGCACATGGCTAGCCAGTTTTCCCAATGCCATTTATTAAACAGGGAATCCTTTCCCCATTGCTTGTTTCTGTCAGGTTTATCAAAGATAAGATGATTGTAGATGTGTGGTGTCGCCTCCGAGGCCTCTGTTCTGTTCCATTGGTCTATATCTCTGTTTTGGTGCCAGTATCATGCTGTTTTGATTACTGTAGCCTTGTAGTATAGTTTGAAGTCAGGTAGTGTGATGCCTCCAGCTTCGTTCTTTTTGCTTAGAATTGACTTGGCTATGTGGGCTCTCTTTTGGTTCCATTTGAAGTTTAAGATGGTTTTTATCAGTTCTGTGAAGAAGGTCCTTGGTAGCTTGATGGGGATAGTGTTGAATCTATAAATTACTTTGGGAAGTATGGGCATTTTCATGATATTGATTCTTCCTAACCATGAGCATGGAATGTTTCTCCATCTGTTTGCATCCTCTCTTATTTCATTGAGCAGTGGTTTGTAGTTCTCCTTGAAGAGGTCCTTTACGTTCTTTGTTAGTTGTATTCCTAGATATTTTATTCTCTTTGTAGCAATTGTGAATGGCAGTTCATTCTTGATTTGACTCTCTTTGAGTCTGTTATTGTGGTGATTTTTGCAGCAATCAGAATGCTTGCGATTTCTGCACATTGATTTTGTATCCTGAGACTTTGCTGAAGTTGCTTATCAGTTTCAGGAGATTTTGGGTTGAGATGATGGTGTCTTATAATATACAATCATGTCGTCTGCAAATAGATACAATTTGACATCCTCCTTTCCTGTTTGAATACCCTTTATTTCTTTTTCTTGCCTGATTGCTCTGGCTAGAACTTCCAATACTATAGTGAATAGGAGTGGTGAGAGAGGGCATCCTTGTCTAGTGCCAGATTTCAAAGGGAATGCTTCCAGTTTTTACCATTCCATATGATATTGGCTATAGGTTTGTTGTAAATAGCTTTTATTATTTTGAGATGCATTCCGTCAATACCAAGTTTATTGAGAGTTTTTAGCATAAAGGACTGTTGAATTTTTTCAAAGGCATTCTCTACATCTATTGAGATATCATGTGGTTTTTGTCTTTGGTTCTGTTTCTGTGGTGAATTACGTTTATAGACTTGCGTATGTTGAACCAGCCTTGCATCCCTGGGATGAAGCCTACTTGATCATGATGGATAAGCTTTTTGATGTGCTGTTGCAATCAGTTTCCCAGTATTTTATTGAAGATTTTTGCATCTGTGTTGATCATGGATATTGGCCTGAAGTTTTCTTTTCTTGTTGAGTCTCTGCCAGGTTTTGGTATCAAGATGATGTTGGTCTCATAAAATGATTTGGGAAGGATTCCCTCTTTTTGGATTATTTGGAATGATTTCAGCAGGAGTGGTACCAGCTCCTCTTTGTACCTCTGGTAGAATTAGGCTGTGAACCCATCTGGACCTGGGCTTTTTTTGGTTTGTAGGCTATTAATTGCTGCCTCAACTTCAATCCCTTGTTATTGGTCTATTCAGGGTTTCAACTTCTTCCTTGTTTAGGCTTGGGAGGAGGAAAGTGTCCAGGAATTTATCCATTTCTTCCGGGTTTACTGGTTTATGTGCAGAGCTGTTTGTAGTAATCTCTGATGGTAGTTTGTGTTTCTGTGGAATCGGTGGTGATATTCCCTTTATTGTTTTTTATTGCATCTATTTGATTATTCTCTCTTTTCCTTTTTATTAGTCTGGCTGGCGGTCTATTTTGTTGATCCTTTAAAAAAACAGCTCTTGGATTTATTAATTTTTTGTAGGGTTTTTTGTGTCTCTATCTCCTCCAGTTCTGCTCTGATCTTAGTTATTTCTTGTCTTCTGCTCGGTTTTGAGTTTTTTTTTTAATCTTGCTCCTCTAGCTCTTTCAATTTTGATGATAGGGTGTCGATTTTAGATCTTTCCTTCCTTCTCATTTGGGTGTTTATTGCTATATATTTTCCTCTAGAGACTGCTTTAAAAGTGTCCCAGAGATTCTGGTATGTTGTGTCCTCATTCTCGTTGGTTTCGAAGAACATCTTTATTTCTGCCTTCGTTTCATTGTTTATCCAGTCAACATTCAAGAGCCAGTTGTTCAGTTTCCATGAAGCTGTGAGGTTCTGAGTTAGTTTCTGAATTCTGAGTTCTAACTTGATTGCACTGTGGTCTGAGAGACTGTTTGTTATGATTTCTGTTCTTTTGCATTTACTGAGGAGTGATTTACTTCCAATTATGTGGTCAATTTTAGAGTAGGTGTGATGTGGTGCTCAGAAGAATGTATATTCTGTGGATTTGGGGTAGAGAGTTCTGTAAATGTCTATCAGGTTTGCTTGTTCCAGGTCTGAGTTCAAGCCCTGGATATCCTTGTTAATTTTCTGTCTGGTTGATCTGTCTAATATTGACAGTGGAGTGTTAAAGTCTCCCACTATTATTGTGTGGGAGTCTAAGTCTCTTTGTAAGTCATTAAAAACTTGCTTTATGTATCTGGCTGCTCCTGTATTGGGTGTGCATGTTTTTAGGATCATTAGCTTTTCTTGTTGCATTGATCCTTTTACCATTATGTAATGTCCTTCTTTGTCTCTTTTGATCTTTGTTGGTTTAAAGTCTATTTTATCAGAGACTAGGATTGCAACTGCTGTTTTTTGTCTCCCTTTGCTTGGTAAATCTTCCTCATAGTTTTATTTTGAGCCTATGTGTATCCTTGCATGTGAGATGGGTTTCCTGGATATAGCACACCGATGGGTTTTTGCTTTTTATCCAATTTTCCAGTCTGTGTTTTTTGATTGGGGCCTTTAGCCATTTACATTGAGGGTTAATATTGTTATGTGTGAATTTGATCCTGTCATTTCGAATATTTTATTATTTAAACTTTTTCCACATCTTTGCTCCCTGTGGACTCCCCTGCCCTTGCCTCGGTCACTCTGGATTGAAACACTTGGTTCATTCTGGAAGCCACATCAAAACAGCTCAGGCCTTGTGTTCTTTGTTGGCTCCTCGGACTCCCTGGATCTCCCCTTTCCCAGGGACCTGTGGCCTTCCGTGGGCAGCTCTGTTCTGACATGCCCAGGACCCTGGCACTGACCCATCCTCTCTGTTCATGCTCCTGGAGAACATGGCCTCTGCAAGTCCTGCCTCTGTATGACAATGTCATGCAATAAATGCTTAATCAATAATTTTGCAATTTATTTTCTGGGTCAAAATTTGGTGCTTGACAAGAGTCCACTGATGATGTCTCTCATGTTTTAGTACCAGGTCTATTTACATTGTAATCTTCAGTAAAGGCAGGACAACACTAACAACACGTCTGGGTGACAGCCTGGCCACTAACACTAATGTGGTACTTTCCTGGATGAGGGCTTTGGGGTCAGGGTGGGAGGAGACAGGTCAGGGGAGGAGGTAGTTGGAGAGTATGCCAGCTTAGGGGTGCCTCAGTGCTCAGTGTTCCTTTTATCTTTTTCTTTTGAGACAGAGTCTCACTCTCACCCATGCTGGAGTTCAGTGACTTGATCTCAGCTCACTGCAGCCTTCACCTCCTGGGTTCAGATTTTCAGGCTTCAGCCAAGTAGCTGGGATTACAGGCACACACCTCCACGCCCGGCTAATTTTTGAATTTTTAGTAGAGGGGGTTTCGCCATGTTGTCCAGGCTGGTCTCAAACTCCTGACCTCAGGTGATCCACCCCCCTTGGCATCCCAAAGTGCTAGGATTACAGGAGTGAGCCACCACACCCAGCCCAATGTTCCTTTTCTCCAAAAGTGACCATGACCATAATATGATCTGAGCTGGGTTCCCCTAATGAGTTGGGAGATGGAATGGATTAGGAAGCAGAGCCGAGGGCAGGTGTCAGCCCCTGGCTGATTCTCCTTGGCTCCTTAACCAAAACTCTGAACTTTACTTAACTTGACATTTCCCTGTAATTGTGTGGTGAAAAGCTTAATCCTGTGCCCATGTACCCACTGATTAGGTTCATTAGATAGTTACACTAACATCTTCTCCATTCAGTTGGTGATATTTTTTCCTCACTACATTGTTTCACAAATAACCTTTACAAATCTGTAATTTGAACTAACTTTCAGAGAACTTCTGAATTAGGCAAAATTATTCTTTTTTTCACTAATAGCATCACCCTTTCTGGGCCATTTTCTACACAGAATTACGTGTTAACTAAAATGTTTATCCTTAGTAACCTAAAAGCAAGAAATGCTGAACCATCAGATATGGACGTTTACAGAAAAGAACAATTCCACAATTGTAGAAACATATTTTCCCTATCACAACCCTTTCTTAATTGAAAGTGACCCATATATTAAATGAGCATAAAAAATAACTTTAAGATATTAATTTACACAAAAACTTTACTTAAAAATTTTATCTCATTCATTATACTTAAATTTTACTTTTAAAAAGGGAGACATGAGACATCAATCAACATAGGTAAAATAAACAACATTGATTTGGTCAGGCTGGAGTGCAGTGGCATGATCCCGGCTCACTGCAACCTCCACCTCCTGGGTTCAAGCCTCCTCTGATTCTCCCGCCTCAGCCTCCCGAGTAGCTGGGACTACAGGCGCATGCCACCATGCCCTGCTAACTTTTTGTATTTTAGTAGTGACGGAGTTTCACCATGTTGGCCAGGATGGTCTCAATCTGCTGACCTCATGATCCACTCACGTTGGCCTCCCAAAGTGCTGGGATTACAGGTGTGAGCCACCACGCCCGGCCAAGCCTCTCTTTTTATAGAAGAACAAGGAGGAAGTTTAATGATTTGCAGTTAGTTTATTGAAATGAAAATGAATTTGAGGTTTCAACAATTGTCTAGCAGTTTCCACATAAAAAGACAAAACAAGAAGGAAAAGTTGCGGTTTCTAGCAATCCCCAGATGAGTTCTGGCCATCGTCCGTAGTCCTCTGAGCCAAACGTCTTGTGCAAAGTTAATTACTCTTAATGTTACACCAAATGCTGTCGTACATTGTATGCTAGAAAACAAAAACAGACAGGTCATTTAGGTTTGCAACTCAGTCAAATATTAAAACTTGTCTTCTTGTTTTCCTGCACGTGTCCACAAACAGCTAACTCCCAGGAAAATTCACAGTGGAAGCAAAACCGGCCTCCCCTCTCCATTCATTCTGTCATCGAGGAGACACTTCATAACGCCAAATAAGGGTCAGCGTTTTAAGACCTCTTCCCTACCAGGGATCCGTGCGATACTTTTTTCTTCAAAAACTCTGTTCCTTAAAATAACTTACCCGATAAATATACCGCATATACTATTTGTCGAAGACCTGATCATTTGGACTGCTTCTGATACCACTTTTACAAGACAGAATTGTTAAAAATCTCAGCTCAAATACAAGAATGGGATGATTTTGAGTTGCACAGGCATCGAAGGTAGAAATGTAACAGTCCAAGACTCTTCCCCGTTACCTTGGAAGCCTAGGAAATACTGGAGCTGGGCTAGGTGTGATGGCTCACTCCTGTAATCCAGGCACTTTGGGAAGCTAAGGTAAGCACATTGCTTGACCCCGGGAGTTTAAACCAGCCTGGGCAATGCTCAGGAGGCTGAGGCCGGAGGATCACTTGAGCCCAGGAGGTGGAGCCTGCAGTGAGCCATGACAGCACCACTGCACTCTAGCCTGGGCAAAAGAGCAAGACCCTTCTCAAACAAAACAAAAACAAGAAAGATTGGAGTTTTACAGTATAATTTTTTTTCTTTTTTTGAGATGGAGTCTCACTCTGTTGCCCAGGCTGGAGTGCAGTGGCACTATCTCAGTTCACTGCAACCTCTGCCTCCTGGGTTCAAGCAATTCTGCCTCAGCCTCCCAAGTAGCTGAAGTTACAGGCATGCGCCACCACACCTGGCTAATTTTTGTATTTTTAGTAGAGACAGGGTTTCACCGTTTTGGTCAGGCTGTTCTCAAGCTCCTGACCTGAAGTGATCCACCCACCTTGGCCTCCCAAAGTGCTGGGATTACAGGCCTGAGCAACCATGCCCAACTAACTGGAGTTTTTAAAGAAAAAAATGATTCGGCCATTCCAAATTGCAGTTAACATTTACTATTTTCCTCGAGCATTTGATATATCTCTAAATTTTCTATTATGAAATGTTTTAAAGAAAATTTTGAGATATTGAAAAATTCTTTAAAAAACTCATAACAGAATCCCAGCACTTTGGGAGGCTGAAGCAGGCAATACCTGAGTTTTAGGAGTTTGAGACCAGCCTGGCCAACATGGTGAAACCCTGTCTCTACTAAAAATACAAACATTAGCTGGGCATGGTGGCTTACATCTGTAGTCCCAGCTACTCAGGAGGCTGTGGCAGGAGGATCACTTGAACCCAGGAGGCGGAGGTTGCAGTGAGCCAAGATCATGCCATTGCACTCCAGCCTGTGCAATGGAGTGAAACTTGGTCTCAAAAAAAATTTTTTTTCTTTATTTTTAAAACTGTAGAATTTGCACAAATTGTATTTTCTGAGCTAGATAAAAATATTAAGAACGTCTTTAATATTTGTTTTTGTGAAAGGAAATTTCTTAGTAGGTTGTTCCTACAAGTGAGTGACTCCTTAAGAATCAGATATTTTCTCTTGATAAAAATGTGCAGGTGTCTTTCTGGGCACCGTGGCTCACACCTGTAATCCCAGAACTTTGGGAGGCCAAGGGAGGCAGATCACTTGAGATCAGGGGTTCAAGACCAGCCTGGCCAACATGGCAAAACCTAGTCTCTAGTAAAAATACAAAAATTAGTCGGGCATGGTGGCGTACACCTGTAATCCCAATTACTAGGGAAGCAGAGGTAGGAGAATCACTTGAACCTGGGAGGTGGAGGTTGCAGTGAGCCGAGATCACACCACTGCACTCCAGCCTGGGTGACAGAGCGAGACTCTGTCTAATAAGAAAAATTTTAAAAAAATGTGCAGGTGTCTGTCCCTTTGTGTCTGTGTGTGTCTATGTCTGTGTGAGGATGGACTGGTGAGATCAGAGGCAGATCGGCGATCTCTGAAACTTTCTTTTCTCCCTTTTGCTTTTTCTGTGTATCGTTCCCTAAAGATTCTCAGTGTGAAGTGGCAAAGCAGCCTGGAAACAAAGTTTAATGAACTGATACAGGAAGTTTGTTTGCCAGTGGCTTGGCATCCTTGGTGCCAAATTTAGAGTCTGCTGATTCTGATCAGTGATTTTCAAAAGGTCCATAAGAAGAAACTAAAATTACCATCATCAGTCCAAAGTTTTTCAGAGTTCTATGTGACTGGCTGAGGAAACACTGCTTGAATTTCCCCATAGCCTCTGCAGCGGCGTCACTGTCTATGAAGTCTTGAAGAAGTTCTTTGTACTCAGGTATAGATACGTCAGAATTGATGGTCTTTTCAACCACGTCCTCCAGGAGTTTGCAGCCAGAATCTGAAAAAACAAAGACACCAGAACATGGGCCATTACCAGAGGGGTGAACCCATTTTACAGATCAGTTGGGAAAGCTGATTATCTTTGTACCTTCCAGGACAGACCGAAGTTCAGAAGGGCGTTGCTGCGGGATGCAAAGTTCTCAACTCTAGGAGCATAAACTCAGGCTCTGCAAATTCTCGCCGACCTCCCAAGCCCCAAGAAACCCAACCCCATGTAGCCTTGGTGAAGAGAACCCTCGAGGCATGAGGTGCTCTGACTGGGAGGACATGGCAAACACTGCTTGGGCTTTCTTGGTTCAAAGTCATGCAATGCTTCCCTGGTATCATGCCCAGCATCAGGGAGGGTTTCCAAGGATTTCAGATGAATGGGTCTAGGACACTTTTTATTAGTTCTGTTGACTCTACTGCAATAAAAGGGAATGTCCAGGCATGGTGGCTCATGCCTGTAAACCCAGCACTTGGGGAGGCCAAGGCAGGTGAATTGCTTGAGCTCAGGAGTTCAAGACCAGCCTGGACAACATAGGAAGACCTCATTTCTACAAAAAATTTAAAACTTAGCCAGGCATGGTGGTGTGCACCTGTAGTCCCAGCTATCTGGGAGGCTGAGACAGGAGCATTACTTGAGCCTGGGACGAAGAGGTTGCAGTGAGCTGAGATTGCACCACTGCACTCCAGTCCCAGCCTGGGTGATAGAGCAAGACCCTGTCACACACACACACACACACACACGAACACGAAATAGAACTTGTTCATGAAGGCATTTAAGGTGCCCCCCCACACACTGTAAGGAAGGGTGGGGCTATCAGTGCTGATTCCAGCGGCCAGGGCTTTTTCCTCCCACTGGATCTTGTGAGTTCTCCTCCCCAGTCTGCCTTGAGCCTGAAGGAATTGGGAGGGAAAGGGCATCCCAGAAGGACTCAGATAAACTCTGAAAGCACAGAGTGAGCCCCACAGGGTGAGAGACACTGGGCCACACTCTGCAGCCTGGGCCTTCTGTCCTGGGAGGTTTCCCATTTCTTTCCACATTAAAGGCCACCCATGATTATATCACGGTTTCTAGGTGTAGATTCCATCTCGCCCTTGCCCCACTGAAATAGTTAATTTCAATATCTAATCCTGAGAATCATCCTGGTTTCTATGGTCGCCGTGACCATGGTGAGACCCTGAGTGCCATGACACGCCATGTGCAGCTCCAATGCGGGGGACAGTCCACGTGGGCACTACCTGCTTGATTGTCAGGAACTCATGGGGATCATAAGGCCTGTCACACCCAGACCCATCACACTGGGGCTGATCTGTTGTGAGGATTAGGGACTGGGAGTTCTTCTACAGGGGGCCAGGCGGAGGCAGCCCTCTCTGCCCAGAACCCACCTGCATAGCAGTGCAGCGGAAGGGCCACCAGCATGAAGACCATCAGCAGCTTCATGGTGAGACAGCCGCTGTAGGCGTTCAGTCGTGTGTGGCAGGGATCAAGGAAGCCGCTGTGGAGGTGAGCGCCCAGCACTGCTCTATTTATCCCCCAGGGAGGCACCTTAGTCCCTCCCAGGAATGAGGCAATGTCTCAACCTGGCTTGGGACCAGGACGCGACAGCCTGACCAAGGGGAACCAAGCCAGCCTGTGCTCTGTTTGTAGAAACCAAGAAGGCAGTAATATTTGGACCCCTGACAATTTGGGGACTGCAGTGATCACACGTGGCTTTCAGTAAAATGAATGTGGCAGAGTTTTCCAAAATATAAAGCAAAACCCAGGGGTGTGATCTGGTGCTCGCAACACTGTTATTATTGTACTTTTCCTCTAGTGCTTCCCTTCTTCCTCCTCCTCCTTCTGTTATTTTTCTTCTACTCCTCTTTGTCTCCTCCTCTTCTTCTCCTTATTCTTCAAGGTACAGACAGTCTCATAACTTGTCTATATGCCGGTCCTGGAATCATCAAGTATTTGGGCTACATGCAATACCTGAATCTTCCTCTGGGAGGCAGAACTTCCTAATACATAAACATTGCTTTTTCGGAAAATATTTGGTGGGCTTTTTCTGAGACAGTCTTGCTGTGTCACCTAGGCTCGAGTGCAGGGGTGCCATCTCAGCTCACTGAAGCCTCTGCCTCCCAGGTTCCAGTGATTCTCCTGCCTCAGCTCCCCGGGTAGCTGGGATTACAGGCATGTGCCAGGACATCCAACTAATTTTTGTATTTTTAGTAGAGACAGGATTTCACCACATTGGCCAGGTGGGTCTTGAACTCCTGACCTCAGGTAAGGTGATGTGCCCATCTCGGCCTCCCAAAGTGCTGGGATTACAGGTGTGAGCCACCGCACCTGGCCCAAAAAAGTGCTTTAAGTTTTGGGGAAAACATTAATATCTAACCTCTACTGAAAGCTTTTTGTTGTTAAGAATTATGACCCTAAGTTAATTCAACTTTTTTTTTTTGAGACAGAATTTCGCTCTTGTTGCCCAGGCTGGGGTGCAATGGCATGATCTCAGCTCACCACAACCTCTACCTCCCGGGTTCAAGTGATTCTCCTGCCTCACCCTCCTGAGTAGCTGGGATTACAGGCATGCACCACCACACCTGGCTAATTTTTTGTATTTTTAGTAGAGATGGGGTTTCTCCATGTTGTTCAGGCTGGTCTTGAACTCCAGACCTCAGGCAATCCGCCCTCCGTGGCCTCCCAAAGTGTGGGGATTACAGGCATGAGCCACCCACCCAGCAAGTTAATTCAACTTTATGCATTTATTTTACACATTTATTAAATATATTTGTAATTTAATTTGTGCTTAGATCTTTGTTAGTCTCTTACGGTTTTCCTTCCACTGACTGAGAGGATACTGTGAATGAGTGGAGTACTGACTGCTTGGGCAGGTGGTGCTGGGCAGTGGGGGGCAATGGGGTTTGGGTGACGATGGGATTTAGGTGATGATATCTGGGCAGCTGTGGGTGTGGATGCTGGAGGCCACATGTAGTCATGCTGTGTCTTTGGGAAAGTTACAGTGCTTGTCCCTCTGGGCTTCCTTTCTTTTTTGTGTGAAATGGGTATAAGTGATGCTGAATTTTTGTAATCACAATAGACATTCTGTAAATGTTTAATCACACGGCCAGGCATGAGATAATTCTGAATAAAGGGCAGTTGCGTCCATGCATGGGTCTTTTGTTGTACACATCACTGTTGCGCTTCTCCTGTGAGCTGGGCCCTGTGCTAGATTCAGCCATAGAAGCAGGTTAGACCAGGTGCTTGCTCCTGTGGACCTTATTTTCTAATGAAAGACACAAAGAACAAGGCTAAAGAGACATCAGAGGTATGAAAAAGTGCTCATTGATGCAAAAAACAGCAAAATATTCACAACAAGCTGAACACTGTCATAGATGGCCTGTCGCAGCAGCCTGTGAGCCCCCTAAGGTAACCTGTAGGAGCAGGTGCTGTTTCAGCTGAGACTTGGATGAGTGGATGGTGATGTCCAGGGATGCATCTGGGGAAGACCATTCCAGGGAAAGGGAACTGTAAGTACAGAAGCTTGAGGACAGATGGCATCTGGCAAAGGAAGGAAGGGAAGGAACTGGGCCACAGAGAATCAGAAGGACAGGACAGACTCACATGATAAAAAAAACCCACCCCTATTTAATTAAGAGCACTGTGAAGGTCATAGGAATAAGAAAAACAAAGTTGGCTCAGGTAAAAAAAAAACAAGAAAGAAAGAAAGAAAGAAATCAATGAGGCAGCCAGAGGGATGAACCCGTTGTTAATTCCCTGTGAATGCATTATTTGCTCTCTGGATTACCTGTGACATCTTTCCTTCCACCATTCAGCTGGAGCCTCAGTTGCCAAAAACAAACCTACTTTTGGGGAGGACAGAAGGAAGAAGTGTTTACTTACCAGGGTACACAGCTGACCCTGGCTGCTGGTCTTGTTTCCCAAGAGGAGTGAAGGACCTTGATCATGAAATGTGAGACTGTTTCCTCGGCCAGTAGTTACTGGGGCTCTGCCTGGTATACCCCAGTCCTTACGGCCCTGCCTTGTCAGCCATCCGCTGGTCCAGAGGCCTCTCCAAAGGTTTCTTATGCATGAAAATAATACCCCATATCAGGCACAGGTGCCCACATGAGAGGTTGAGTTTTCTTTAACCTCCACATTTGATCAGGACATTCAAAGGTGATTATTCTCCGGTGAATCAGATAACAATGAATCAAAATAGACACATTGGCAAAGCAGCCTTCCCAGGGAGAGGGAGAGCCCCAGAGCTTGGCGTACCCGTGTTGCCGGTGCAATTTTTTCTCTTCACAAAGGGGACTTTGCCTCAGGTCCTTCAGTGGAGCTCAGAAGCCTGAGAAGTCTAGTGTCCTTGGATGTTTTGCATTGGTGTGACTAATTCTGATTGAGCTGGTGTGACAAGCATGCTGAGAAGAGGAATCATTCCTGGTTCTCTCCAGGGTGAGCTCACTTGTGTCATGGGGAAAATGCACATCTGTGGTGAGAAAGAGTTAGGTAGGACCTGCCCTCAGTCTCCCAGAAGACGCGGATATGGACACATTAATATATTTTGGCATTTGAAAGGCCTTGCCATACATAATATTAAGGACAAATTTCTGAGAAGTCATATTTATCAGCAATGTGTACATTTGCACAAAAAGCATAAGAAAAAAGCTTTTGTTGTTGTTATTGTTGTTGTTTTTGAGATGGACTTTTACTCTTGTCACCCAGGCTGGAGCGCAATGGCACAATCTCGGCTCACTGTAACCTGCACCTCCTGGGTTTGAGCCATTTTTTTTCTCGGCCTCCCAAGTAGCTGGGATTACAGGCTCACACCACCTATTTTTTGTATTTTTAGTAGAGATGGGGTTTCACCATGTTGGCCAGGCTAGTCTCAAACTCCTGACCTCAGGTGATTCACCCGCCTCAGCCTCCCAAAGTGCTGGGATTGTAGGCGTGAGCCACCTCACCCAGCCGGAAAAAAACCTTTTTGGGAATTAGATACTCAGGAGGTATTTTATAAAACTGTAAGTTGCAGCTAACAATCTGCTCCACTGACTTCGGGGCAGCATACCCCACTTGTCTCTTTTTAACCTTATCCTCTGCATCTAGCTCTGCCGGTCACCTACCAGGTTGGTGAGAAACCCACTTAAGACATGTCTTTCCAGGTGAACCTCCTCCTCTTTGAGACTTTGCAAAATGTAGATGTGGAGTGGGAAGCTGCTTACCCAGGACAGAACTTTAGGAAAGGCTTCTGGTCTTAGAGCCATCTTGGTTTGCACTGAGATGCCTGTTGTTAAGTCACCGAGGCCTTGTGTAGAACCCGGTGGCTCCCTCACCTTGACCCAAGCTTCGTCCCGGGATTCCAAGTCTGGGATGCTCAGTGTTCAGTCCACCCCGGCACCCCTATATTCCAGCTCAGTGTCCCAAAATATTTCAGAAGTCTGCAAAGCTTGACCTTCCCCTGCGTGGGGGTGAATACATCTGTTGACATGGGGTTGGGATTGAGTGAAGGGAATGGTGTGAATCCTCTAAAGAGACCACAAACAGCCAGGCGAGGTGGCTCATGCCTGTAATCCCAGCACTTTGGGAAGCCGAGGCAGGTGGATCACAAGTCAGGAGTTCAAGACCAGCCTGGCCAACATGGTGAAACCCCCATCTTAAAAAAAATAAAAATAGAAAAAAAGAGACCACAAATATCAGAAACACTTCCTGGCCTCTTCTTTCTGAAATGGGACTGAGGAAAGGAGAGGCGGTAGCTTCTATGGGGAGAAGGAAGACCCCCCCTTCCCCATACACACACACCTAAGATGCATGTGGTAGTGGTGTACTTTTTGTACTCACTTAATTGTCCGAAGAGACCTGTGACCCTTTGTACCTCTGAGAGGCCTGAGGAGACACACACAGGAGACTATAAGCCCCAATGGGAAAGGAGAGATACAGAGAGAGAGAGATAGCTGAAGAGATCTGGGAGGCCAGAGGAGAGAGAGCGTGCTTTCCCTTAGGTGGGAGAAACTTCCTCTGGCTTAGAGGATGAGGGGAGGCTGTGGGTAGGGAGCAGGTAGGTTAAAGGTGGATAAAGTCAGAAGATGGGAGAGGTGACTCCCAGAGGGGTCAGATAATTGAAAGGTCAGGAAAGGATAAAATCCCTTATTCCATGAGGCAGTCCCATCCCAGCTGGACATTCACAAGACTCCCAGGAAGGACCCCGGAAGGGAGGACCTGGGAAGCTGCTGCTCCGCTGGGCACCGCTGTGTTGCACTGCTGGGTCCCTTCTCTGCAGATTCTGCAGCCCTTTCTCGTAAGGGTTGGACGGCAGATGGGTAGTGAGTGAGGGCTTGGAGCCTGACCGCCACTTGTGTTCACATCCCAGCTCCTCCGCTTGCTGACTGCAACAATGGACGGGAGACTTGCTGCCCTGTGTTCCCTTTAAAATGGGAACAGCCATAGAATTGCTGCGAGTCACAAGTGAAGTAAAAGTGGAGAGTCCTGAGAACAGCGCTTGGCACGGAGCAGATGCCATCCA